ACTAATATGGTTTAAAACGCATGATTTCAGCGTGATAAACATGATAATCAGAACTAAAACAGATGTTTTTTAGCAGGTACGAGCTGTAATGGCGCAGCTCTATTCTGGAAAAGGGGCGGGGAGCAGCAGCCCATTTGCATTTAAAGAGACAGGCCCGAAAAACAGCGTGTTTCTGCTTCCACTCAAAATAGGCATTTTCAAAATGATATAATAAATGATCTGTGTCTATTTAAACGCATAACATATTAAAGCGTCTTTGGTGTTTCCATGTTTTCTACAAAATAAAACCGGAAATCGAGGGGTTAAGACGTCATTGGCAGGCGACACAATGACACTATGGACACAGTCCGTGTCACTAGTTAAAATTGCTTATTTTTCTGGATTTAAACATTCTTCAAAACATTTGGGATAATGTAAGTACAAAAGTCAGCAAAATATATAACACCGTTCTAGTGGTTTTTGGATATTTTAATAAAAAAATCGTACATATTGTGCCTTTAATACTTATTTTAAATCACATGAATTTTAATTGACCTAAACTATTAAATTATTATTTTTTGGTTAATAGCAACTTTGCTGCCCATCCCTGTTTTGTTGTACTGTACTATATTGATTACTTTTTTGTTTGTTTTATCTTGTATAGCAGCATGAAAAATGAGGAGAGCAAAGTGTTTCAGAATGGCAGGAACCACAGCCGGTCTCGCTCACGATCTTGCTCGCCATCCCGTTCTCCGCACAGACAGTAAGTTACAACATACACTTTCACTTCAAGTGATATTTCATACCTGTACACCAGGTTGATATTTAAAATAGATTTGTTTTTTTTCTGCTGCTGACGTGCTGTTCTCTTATCTTTAGTCGGAGGAGCCACTCAGGAACGTACAGCTCTCACAGCAGCCACAGTCCATCGCCACAGCAACACAAAGGTCGCAGAGCCTCACCAATCACGCAGCTCAGGACGGAGCGAGACAGACAGAGCGAGTCTAGTTGGCACAGCAACAAAAGTAGACGATCACGGAGCCGATCTCGCAGCAATTCCCGCAAACAAGCCCGTGACCGTGACTATGTGAAACACAAGCACGATCGCGGTCACCACTGGGACCATCGTGAACGAGACCATGACAGATCACATGATCACGGACGAAGCAAACACCAGAGCAGGTCACATTCTGGACACAGCCACAGCAGACACAGGAGATGAGACGTGCGGCACTGCTGAATGAAACCGAGGGAACTACGATGGCATTGGACAACAGGACTAAATTGTAAATTGGAAAATGCTTACTTCAATACAATGTTTCCCCAGAGTTAACCTTGTTAAGAAGTGGATGTTCTCTCAATGTTTTTGTTCTTGCATCTGACCGGCTCATATAGAGTTCGGTTAGGCAAGGTAGTGGTGCCTTTTATGTATTTGACAATTGTGTTTTGCTAAACTAAAAGTGAACAACAGACTGCTAAAAATCTACCTATATCAGGGATCACAGTTACACAGGAAAGAGCAGACGAGACCTGTGCGTGTTAAATATTTTCCAAATGCACAGCTGTGTTTGTGCACTGTACAAATAAAGCTTATTTTTATGACTACTTTGTATTTATCTCTTAGCAAAATAAAAATGCTTTATTCAAATTATGAAATCATTTGTTTTACTGTATATGGTGTGTTTATAAAAGGGTTAGTTCACCCAAAAATGAAAATTCTGTCATTAATTACTCACCCTCTTGTCTTACAGGTTTGGAACGACCTTTGTTTAACTTCGGAACACGAATAAGATATTTTTGATGAAATCCGAGAGTCGTGCTGCTCATGGTTGGCAGCGGACTGACCCGGAAGAGAAGAAAACGTTGAATAAAGTCATAATTTTAGGGTTTTTTTGCGCACAAAAAGTATTCTCGTAGCTTCATAAAATTATGGTTGAACCACTGATGTCTTGCTGTCTATGGATTTCATCAAAAATATCTATTTGTGTTCCGAAGACGAACTAAGGTCTTGCGGGTTTGGAACGACGTGAGGGTTAGTAATTTAATGACAATTTTCATTTTTGGGTGAACCATCCCTTTAAGTTACTTCAGACTAATGAAATAAAACTGCAGAAAACACTCCTTGGATCTATTCACAAAGCTGCTGGTGTTTTCAGTGGCTGATATAAGCTGGTTAAACAGCATGAGGTTTTTTTGTTATCTTGACCACATTAGCAGGATAAATGGTAACTTGGGTTAAGTGAACTAGCGATTATTTTTTTTAAAAATCTAGGTAAATGTTTATGAATATACTAGTGTTATTTGTTAATTCATAATAACTAACACATTAAAGTCACGATTTAATGGAAGTAGCGAGAAGTATATCCAGATTAAACATTTTTGAAACATAAATCTAGGGCGGGAACTTTTATTCATTGTTCTATTCCTAGGATAGAGGCCTGAATGTGAGCTTGCAAGAAAAGGGAGTTTGGACAAATCTTGCACATATCAAAAATACGTCATTTTACCTGAAGATTGAGTTATATTTTATTTGAAATTTACAAGGTCAAAAATGACTTGAATAAATTAGATATAATCATAAATTAATTGTTCACAATAAGCTCAAAACATACATTGAAAAAGAAAAAATAGTGGATTTTGATTTCAACCAAAATGTTTTATTGTTTGTGTTCATGAATTGTGTCTATTAACGAATGGAATATTATTGTGAAGTGCTACAGAATACATATTAATGTTTCCATGTATAAAGAGTGTACTGTAAATGTGTAACTTTTAAAGTGCAAGCATATATATATATATTTTTTGCATTGTCAAATTTAACACACCGGTTACGCGTTGGTGCAGTTGTGTACCAACAGCATAGTTAAATGTAAAAAGAAAACACTTTCAGTATCAGTGTAACAGAGGACACTGTTATACTGCTTAAACTTGATCATATGGGCCTGAAACAAGTCCCTGAACTGAATAAAGGACAAACATGTAGTAAAATAAAATTGCAGTCTCTGAAGCTGCTGAATTTGTCATCCGGTGACTGTTCCAGGAGTTATCCTGCGTATATGTGTGTAGGACTTCCTGAGAGTCACACTGCCATGGTGAGATACTCCACGTGGAAGCACACACTCCTCAGTCAACTTTTTTGTCTCTGGGTTCCAGCAGAGAACAGTAGCAATCACTTCGTTCTTGTCATCACGACCACCAGTAATGAAGAGCTTGTTATTGCAGGCAGCAATGCCACAGCTGGCCCTCTCACAACCCAGCTGGATTATTAGCGTCCAGGAGTCTTCCAGAGGACTGTAGGAATACAAGGCCTTCATCGCACCACCTTTATTTGAGAGGAAATTACACATTTAATCATCAAAGCAAGGCGGTTATCTCTGGTGAGTAGTTTGTTTCATTTAAGCAAAAAAATGTAAAAGGCACAAACCAACAACAAAAATGGCCTCCTTAAAGGTCACTGCATTTGTACATTTGGCCTCAGTTGGCATCGGGCATTTTAAACTCCATTTGTTTGATAGGGAATCAAAGCATTGCATGTTGTTTGTGGCTAGCTTGCCATTGGGGCCTCCACCTATCACAAAGATGTATTTGTCATAGCTGGCAGCAGAGAAGGAGCTTACACTCAGCATGAGGGGTGCTGCCTGGAAGGTGGATAAAAATATTCAATTGTGAATTGTAATGAAAATATATGATAAGATTAAATACTGTAAATGCACAGAAAAGTTATTAAAGGTGCTGATTTCAACACATTTTATGTTAGAGACAAGTGTAAAATGGACGGAAATTTTAATATCTCAGATGAGGATTGGGGGGAAATTAGTAAAACACAATGGAAATCTACAAGCTCAGCCATGTGGAGAGAAGTTTGTTGGAAGAATGTAATTAGGTTCTTTATTACACCATCACAGAAAAAACACCAAGGGAAGGGTACTAGCTGCTGGAGATTATGTGGGGAAAACGAAGCTAACCACTACCATATCTTTTGGGGGTGTCAGAAATTAACCCCATATTGGCAAGAGAGTAAAAGGAATCTGGAAGCTGTTTTTGAGGTAGAGATGGCGGCTAGTAAAAAAGTAATTACTAAAAAATGGTTAAAGCCTGAGTCACCCACAGTTGAAGAATGGATTGAGACAATACATATTATATATGTGATGGGAAAATGCATTTCATTAAGAACTCATACGGAAGATTTCTTTCTAAAATTAAATTGGTACGCCCAGATTTTTCTTGAATTGTAACTTTTTCATTTTTTATGACTTTTTTTTCCCTCTAACTTTTAGTATGAGTTGTAAGAAATAGCTCCCCATGTTCTGTTGTATATAGTTGCTGTTTAGAGGAAGAAAATAATGTTTATATAACATTTGAGAAATCTGTTTTCAAGAATGAGGGCATACATACTCGGTAAACACAATCTCCTAAGTAACATTAATGTGTATGTTTGTATTTTCATTTATGTATTTATGTTTTTCTTTCTTCTCTCTGAGAAATTATGTGTCCTGGGCCCGTATTCACAAAACATCTTAAGGCTAAAAGTAGCTCATAACTCGCCGATTTAGGAGAAAATCTTAAAAATAATGGCCGTGTCAATCCTAAATTTAGGACTCCTAAATTTTTGCTCTAAGAGGATTTCACAAAGCGTTTTAGCACTAAAACTAGCTCCTAAATCTGTGAAACGTGAAGAGGACTCCTAAGTCACTAAGACCAAGCCACAAACTATTCCTAAAATGGCTGTTGCCAGCAATCTGTCTCTGAACGTAAACATTTTAGAAACATTTGATGATAATGACCTTTTAAAAAGGTATCACCTTTGGTTTTGGAGGTTACCCCAACTCCTAATATTCCTTTGATCACATCCTTGTTTTCATTAACCAGTTGGGCAAGAAGTAACAGCTTCCAGGTTGCATCCAGGTTGTTTTTGTTTTTTGCTTTTTTACATTTGCATTTATTACTATCAGCCATGATTATTCTACTCTGTTAATTAAAATGCTGTTTATATGCATATCCGCTAATTGTTTTTGAGAAGCATACGTGTAAGAGGCTGACAATAAGCTGAACATATACTTGTTTAATTAGTGACACTTATCCTGCATTTTTAAATCTTTATTTCAATGTGGCAAATAATTTTTTTTATTTTTAAACCTTTATTTGAATACGGCAACATAATAATGTGCTCTACAATATTTCCATGAATAAATCTCTGACAGAGCCTATCAGCCAATCACTGTGTGCATAGTTAGTAAGCATGCTGACATCATCCATAGCAACGAGGTCAACCCCGCCCTTTCTCTTAGCTTAAGACTTCTCTCTATTCCTTAGTAAAAGTTTGTCTCAGCAGCTTTGTGAATAGGTTTTAAGAGAAAACTCTTAGCTAAAAACTTTTACTGCCATTTAGGAGAACTCTTAGTGGCAAGATAAAATGTTTTGTGAATACGGGCCCTGATCTCTATGTATTTTCCCACTTAATATCTAAGTGCTGATTTCTTAGATATTAACCTATCCTTCATCTATCTATCTATCTATACACACAGCAAACAAACACTCTTTCAATTAGATATTTAACTGAAAATGAAAAGGTATTTCTCTCTCTAATTTTTTTTAAATTTATTTATTTATTTATTTTTTTACTGTTGGGACTGCAAAGGGCCCAAAGTTACCATAGTGGATACCGGATATGTACAGGACTCACCTCAGTCCAGCAGTTGTGAAATGGATCATAGGCTTCAACACTGTTCAATCTCTGGGTTCCATCAAAGCCACCCAAAACATACACTTTTCCTCCAACAACTGCCATCTTGTGTCTCCAGCGGCCTGTGTTGAGATACTCTATCTGGATCCATTTGTTTAGTGATGCATTATACTTCCACACATCATGCAATGTTTCCTTGCCACCTGTTTTAAATGTAAAAAAGTGAGTTTTACACATTTATTTGATCTTGCACATCAGCGTCCATGCGAATAAACAAACTACATAGTTACTGTCACTTTATCGCTATCTCAGTGTGATGTACTGATGCTCACCCGATATGTAGACTTCATTTCTGAAGGTGACACACGCAAACTCCACCCACTTCTTATTTTCATTCTCAGATTCCATGTCTGTGTTCGGCAGTTTTGCGACCTCTAAGCGACTCCTGCGTAGTGGGTCCAGACAGGTCACCTCAGATACAAACTTCTCATCCTTTGTGCATCCTCCAATGATCATAAACACCTCAGACTGGAACTCCCGCACTCTAGGTTTGGTGCGCTCTGAGATCACCTATAAACCAGTTCACCCAAAAATGAAAATTCTGTCATCATTTACTCACCCTCAAGTTGTTCCAAACATGTATACATTTCTTTGTTCTGTTGAACGCAAAAGAAAATATCTTGAAGAATGTCGGTAACCAAACAGTTGATGGTAGCCATTGACTTCCACAGTATGGAAGAAAAAAAAATACTATGGAAGTCAGTGGCTACCATCAACAGTTTGGTTACCAACATTCAAAGTCAGAATTCTTTGTTAACCTCTCGAAATTCAGATTTGCGAGAAATTAACTCAGAATTGTGAGAAAAGTCGGAATTACCGACTTTTATTATTATTTATTCTGTGCCAGAAATTAGCTCCCATAGTTTAATCACTGAAGTGTTTGTGAATTTATATATTTTTTAAAACACATTTTGTAAATATTTTTACACATTGTTGTTATCATATCATCTTTCCAAAATATATTAAGTTTAAAGTTTACTTCAACTGCTATCTAGCTGAACAGTTTTTGGTTAATAAATTGATTATTTTACCTAGTAAATAAATATCATAGTTGAACTGCATATTTTGTGCCCCTTTTATTATTATTATTAATAATAATACAATTTCTATATTCTTTTTTGCAATGTTCAAAGTTAGAAGGTTCCCTGTATAATTTACAGCATTCCCTAACAGACAGTTTCTTTCATATGTAAGCAAAGTGGACATTATGAATTAATACACTTCCTCCAAATAGAAAGCTTGCCATGTCATTATGACGCACAGTCATAATTCCTAAGCTTGGATTTCACTTCCTGTATTTGAATGTCTTGTGACCACTTCAACATGACATCAAGCATTTAGAAAGGTCACCTTTGTAAAACTGACCTCTTTGCCTGAGAGGTGATAAACCCGAGCCTCCTGCAGCAGTGGGAACACCTCGGCACACTGGCGGATCAGAGGGTCTCCTTCCACCCTTTCTACAAAGTACCATGGGTCCAACAAGGGCAGCCTCACATGTGTGAGGACACGGGGCAGCTGAGCTAATCTTTCATCCTGTCGGGCCCTCAGCCAACGCATAAGCACCTCAAACACCTGCTCCTCTTCTGTTACCCCCAAGTCATCATGCTGGAGCAGACTGACCAACACATCTGCAGGAAGCTCAAGGATCTCATCATGGTCCACCACTTGAGAGAAGTTTTGGATAATGTAGGAGTAGACTTGGGCTTTCAAAGACTCCAGCGAATGCACGTCAGCTAGATGCAGGATTCCCACACAGTTTTCTGGGTGAAGGGCTTCTGCTAAGTAACTGGCACAGGCGTCCACTATACGCGGAAACTGCAAACATAGATTAGATTTGAGATCATAACGGAGCATTACATTATTGCTTTGCATTTAGACATGTAGGGACTTTTTAAAAAGAAATGTATACTTTTATGCAGCAAAAATGCATTACATTGATCAAAAGTGACAGTATTATAATATTACAAAAAATTACAATCCTAAAAAAATGTATTATGTTTTTTTTCCACAAAAATATTAAGCAGCACAAGTGTCTTTAACACTGATTATAATAAATGTTTTTGAGTGCCAAATCAGCATATTAAAAAGAGTTTCTGAAGGATAATGTGGCACGGAAGACTGGAGTAATGTATGCTGAAAATTCATCTTTGCATCACAGGAATAAATTATATTTTAAAATATATTAGAGAAAGTCATTTTAAATTGCAATAATATTTTACAATATTACTGTTTTTACTGTATTTTGATCAAATAAATCAGCCTTGGTGAGCATAAAAGAGGTCCTCTTGAAATAATGTTAAAAACAAGTTAGATTTAACATGCAAAGAATATGGCAAATTATTAATTTCTATGACAACCTCTGGAGATGCATCAAGGTCTGGCATTCTGTCAGATTGTTAGTTAAAATATAAAATACTGTGAACATACACATAAATACAAAACATGTAAAAATGTCCTGATTTCTGTTTTTTCCCCCATTTCTGCATGCTAATCAAAATACATAATATACAAAACGATTTAATAAACTTTAGGTTTTGCAATAAAAATTTAAAAACAGAAATGGTTCATTTAATTTCATACAGCAAAATTGTTCCATTTTGTTGAGACAGGTGAAGGCAAATAGGTAGTAGGCACAAGTGACAGGTCATTAAGAGAGGATGGGATAGTTCAAGTATTATAATACTTCTCTGGAAGGTAAAAAAGGGGGGAAAGTTCTTTGTTAGGCCAGAGCTCAACAATACTCAATAAAATACAAGAGAAATTTGACAGAAATGCATGAAATGTTCAGGTACACACTGACCGATGCAATGGTGTCTGAACCGTGTACATTAAACAAATACAATGAGAGACATCAGTAGAAAACAAGAGAGGTCTACAGTCAGTGGCTCCTCTGGTTTTGTAGCCTTTTTAAGGCACATTAAAGGAGAGTTTGGTGTGAGGAGGCAAGACATGGTGATTGTGCAAGTTAGTCGCCCAGGTGGAGATGACTAGGGTCCTCAGGGCTGAATAGCAAAGGTCCTTCGCGGGACAAGAAGGGAGACTCTGCTGGAGTGATGGAGGTTCTCACAGGAATCGGTCGTGAGAAGGAATTTGGGCATTGGCACATAGTGACAAACGGCTAGCGGTTACTCTTCATTGCCTCCTTGGCAGCAAGTATAAGGGGAGTGAGGCTGGAAAGAGGCTTCGCCAGCTTCAGGAAGGGATGCTGCAAGAGACAGAAGTACATTAGCACATTTTCCAGAAAATTAAATAGTCATCAACACCTCCACAGTCTATTCCAGAGGTTCCCAAACCTTTTTGTTCAGCAAAACCCCTTAGTAGGGATGTGCGCGACGACTAATTTGACTGAGGTATACACTCAAGGTCGGCCAAAGCATAGCTTATTTATTCAAATCAGCTGGGGAAATGCAGAACAATGGAAAATCAATCAATAGCCTGACAGAAATCTTAATCTTCATATAGGCTAACGTTAGTCAACATATTAAAACAAGTCAAAATCAATAGGAAGGTTTGTCAAGAAATAGCATTAAAACGGCTTTTAAAAACATACTTCGTGTAGGCTATATCGTCTAAAAACAAAACAATGCAACAATGCCCATT